GCTTATAAATGGTTTATAGATAGGTTATTAATTCATCTATAAACCCTTTATAAATCATTAATAAGTGTTAATTATGCAATAATTAAGGATGAGAAAGAAACAAAACTGTCCAGTTTCTTGCCAAATAGTGAGCCAAATCTGTTCACAGACATGTCATCTAAAAGGTGCTWTATTAAACACTTCACACTAGTTACCTTATAGCCACAATTATGATTTGGAAACACATATTTAAGCAATTATTAGTACTGTGTTACTTTATTATAAATATCCACAACTATTAAATGGAGCCTTACTGTAAAATATAAAACAGTACACTATTTATTAATGACTAATAAACATTTGTAAATGCCAAAAGGGAGCCTTATTGTAAAGTGTAAAACAGTACATATTAATGACTAATAAACATGTATAAATGTCAAAAGTTAGTCTTTAATATGAAATACCATTTTTAAAACATATTAATATTTGAAATTATTGTACAAATGTGTAACTACTGTCAACAATGTTGATATCCTAAGAGTAAAACATGTCATGTTAAAATACAATCTAGTCCCCCAACCCCATCCAAACAAGTTCATGCCAACATGTAAGGCAAGGCATTCAGGTTCAGACCGGAATTATTTTTTTTGTTTATCCTTGAATAAGCGCCCCAGTGGTCCATCAGGGTGTTGTGAACCAAGCCAAGATGACCATTCCAGAACCATGAGGTGTTCCTCCAACAACGACTCAGTACGATTCCCTCTTAGTCTGCGGACATGTCCTTTGATGGTCTTCCAAGCTCTTTCAATAAGTTGTGTATGACTGCCAGATTGAGGATCTACGAACCACTTACTGTGGTTTACTGTGTAATGTTTGTACCCTATGTTTGTCAAAACATTCTTGTAGGCTCTCCACTCATCACTGATAATGGAACTACCTGGCTTAACATGCTGTCTAATCAGGGGAACAAGGTGGCGCCTTGATCGTTTTTCAACAAGTTTTAACACGAGCCTTCGCCTTTTGTCTTTAACTCCCATCAGTCCAAACACCCATTTCTTCCTTTTCCATCCATTTCCAAAGCATCCACGTGCACACTGAAAAAACACAAAAACAAAGATTAAATAGAATTTTTACAAAGAAACATTCCAAACTGCTATTTACTTCTAAAAATTTTAGTAGTATTGCTGTTATAAAAGTAAATTGAATTTTAACTTCACTGCATATTTGAATGGCCAAGATGTTGGTTCAAACGTGTTTTCTAGGATTGAATGTCCTTTTGGGATTAAAGTAGAAATTAATTTAAACTCAAATGTAAAATCATTAAAAAATATTTGTAGTAATTGAAATAACAAGTACATGTTTACTAACTGATTGTATTAGAATTATTGCAATAACAATTTAGTTACAATGAATTTTTTTTTACTCGTAATAGCAAAGGCTTTTATATTTAGATCTGGATTGATTCAAACAAACTGTTCTGACAGTTTACCAACCTTTCGTTGATGACGGTGACAGCTTTCATCTATAACCACAAATTCTTTGCGACCACCAAGACACTGTCTGTTGTTTACTCTGTGTCTTTCCATCGCACAAATGCAAACATGTCGAATGCGTTTTGCCATGGTGCTTAGTGTTCTTGAGCTCCCAGCCACATCATCATCGATCATATCTATTTGTCGGAGTCTGAGCCCTTGTGAAAATCTGTGGCAGAAATTAAAACAATATACTGTAACTTACTGAGGTTCTAATAGAC